TTGTAGGAAGAGGGTTTGTTTGTCACAAATTAATTTTCAAATATTTTAAATATAATTTATATTAATGTTCCTTTAATCGCATTTTTGACATGTTTTCGTATCCCATCGTGGTAGCCAAATGTAATGTTGTAAAAGATATTCGGGCCAAATTCACATTTTTAAAAACATTCTGACTAAAACAAAACCCATATTTTACGTGGTACTCAACTTTAACAAATATGCCAGTTGTTATGTTGATTGACCCCCATACACTACTTATACATGATTCTCTCCCTGTCATCCTGTTATGTTGACATAACAAACACATCAACGTAGAACACATTCGTCAGGACGAAAGCTCTACCATAGTGTACAAACTAAACAAGCTCAAAACGGAAGTAAGAAACTAATGGCTATCCTTCATGGTGTCACACGTGAGACAGAATAATAATCCATTAGAGGGCATAATTGGAAAAGATCGAAGGAAAACGCTCGTTTGCAAAAGTCCTGTTGTATTGTTAGTGGGGAAAAATTAGATCACCGTTCCATATTTTCAAAGACTGATTACCTGCAAGATCCATGCTTTTAACTCATAATAACTCATGATAATAGAGGAAAACTAATTAAAGACTTGAAAATTATATGTGAAAATTTGATTTTGAAATATTACTAAGTTCCTGAGTTTGCACACACACACACACACACACACACACACACACATACACACACACTTATTTTGTAGCACTGAGGAGATGAAATTCTTAACATCGGTCGACTTTGAGGATACAGCCACTGTATCAAAAGTGATTGTATACGCGCATTGCCCGAAGAATAAAATGCTATTCTGAGTTTCTAGTCACGTGGTATTCCCAAAATTTACGGTTAACAGTGCATAAACAAACAAAGACAACATCATACGAAATGCAAAGGACAGACCTTCAGCTATCGTTTAAATCAAGCGGTGAAGCTAAGTTGTAATGCCCGGTCACGATCAAGATTTGATGTGAAAAATGGATCCTCACAAAAATTTATGAAAAATGAAAAACAAATCTGTAAAAAAAAAACTTCTACTCAGTCGATGTCTTCTTATTTTGATCTAGCAAAAGTTCCTGCAGCCAAAAGAGCATCCTCACCTAATACAAATCATTAATGTTACATAGCTTACTTTGTTACTTTGTTCGAACAAGAACTGGCACCATTAGGTCTTCAAAAACATCAGTAATACCTACAAGTTCATACGAATTCCAGACAGTCGGTACAAACATCATAATACCTAATATCGAGTTCATACGACTTCCGGACAGTCGGTACATACATCAGTAATAACCAATATCGAGTTCATACGACTTCCAGACAATCGGTACAAACAAATTCCGGTAAAGAGGATGATTCGTTGAAAAAAAAATAACTATAGTTATAACCTAAGTTTGTATCGTAAATACTTATCAAATTCAATGTTCCAATGTGAGAAAAAAAAATCACTAAAAGAGCAACCAAAGAAATGATCGATACCGTGTGTGAATGTTGTTTTACTGTTTTAAAGGAATACAATATTTGACACAGAGAAAAAAATGACCTATCAGTACCTGTAAGCAATGCATTTTTGGGGAATTTTAATATTTCTGCCTTACAGTTCATGCACAGCTTCTAGGAATCTTGTCGTGAGTGCTAAAAATGAACATCATCGTCAAAAGCCTAAAGAGGGTCAAGTCCATGTCATCAACACAGACGACAGTCATCGTCCAGGAATCCAATGGATAGCCGTCTTTCTTCCAAGCTAATATCGCATCCATATTCTTATAGGCGTAGCCTGGGATAACATATACGACTTTTTACGACTTGTTTTAGAGGTGATTTCTTTAGAAACGATGATAAAATAGCGAGTGTTTTTAAATATTATCTATTTTCTTTCACCCAGAATCGTAGCGTACATCCTTTGCAAAATTACACTGGTCTAAATTATTAGAAATCTAGACTTACTCTACAAGTTTATAGTTGCGGAAATATGTTAATGTTTATCATTTAGTATTTGTACGTGTAAATGAAAGAAAAACCCCAATTCTCTCTCTCTCTCTCTCTCTCTCTCTCTCTCTCTCTCTCTCTCTCTCTCTCTCTCTCTCTCTCTCTCTCTCTCTCTCTCTCTCTCTCTCTGCATTCATCTTCGATGTACTTTTATTTCTATTTTTAGCCATCAAAACAAAATTACGTCATTTTATTTAGAGTGCAGTGCATACAAATTTACATTTCTCTCCAAATACATCTAACATGCTACACTGTTTACCAACAGACTCACAGATAAATATAATTTTTCAGTCCGACGGAAGACCATCACTTCATGCTACTCTGCTGTAAATATATATTTCAAAATAGAAGTCATATACGTATCCCGTTAGGGGCCTTAATCTTTGAAATACTGGAATTTCAAAATAGAAGTCATATACGTATCCCGTTAGGGGCTTTAATCTTTGAAATACTGGAATTTCAAAATAGAAGTCATATACGTATCCCGTTAGGGGCTTTAATCTTTGAAATACTGGAATTTCAAAATAGAAGTCATATACGTATCCCGTTAGAGGCTTTAATCTTTGAAATACTGGAATTTCAAAATAGAAGTCATATACGTATCCCGTTAGGGGCTTTAATCTTTGAAATACTGGAATTTCAAAATAGAAGTCATATACGTATCCCGTTAGGGGCTTTAATCTTTGAAATACTGGAATTTCAAAATAGAAGTCATATACGTATCCCGTTAGGGGCTTTAATCTTTGAAATACTGGAATTTCAAAATAGAAGTCATATACGTATCCCGTTAGGGGCTTTAATCTTTGAAATACTGGAATTTCAAAATAGAAGTCATATACGTATCCCGTTAGGGGCTTTAATCTTTGAAATACTGGAATTTCTCGTCAAGATTTTGTTTTCAAATGCCAGTTTGATCAACTTGTTCAATTATGACTGCTCCTTTAAAGCTTTTTTATTTTCAGATTTTGCCGTGGTTCAGAAAAAAAGAAGTCAATGTACAATAGACCGTGTTTCTTGAGAAAAGTTTAATGTAATGTAATACATTACATTCCTTATGAATCTGAATGTAGAAGCAACAATCCTATGTAATGTGATGGAGGTGGGGGAGGTCATCAGTATTATTTAATTCGGTGGCAGAAAATGTGTTATTACGCTATATAAATAACATAATGTGTTCATAAACATGTATGGGTTGATCTTTAGTTTTACGTTTTGTGTAATCAACAACATCGCATGATCTATACACAATACAGCTAAATGAAACCTAATTATACATGATGAATCAGCTGATATTGTTTTTACAGATTATCGTGTACTTTATGATTCACATGCTACACACACTTAGGAAACATTTAATAAGGTGTTACAAGTACCACTTAGTCCCCTTTCCACCAACAACAGTACATTGCCTTTAAGACGAATGAAACGCTATAATACCATTTTTACCTTGGAACCATGTTGTAAATGTTACTTTACAATATTTATAATATGCTATAAATGTTACTTTAGCTATTAAAGAATAGAAATTAAATCACCTGCATACGATAATAATAATTAATTACTTGGGAATATTATATCAACAACGTCAAGACCCTTGAAGGTCGATGCAAAATGATATTATAGTGTTCCATTCGTCTTAAAGGCAATGGACTGTTCTTGGAGGGGAGGGGTCTAAGTGGCACTTTTAACACTTTATTGGCATCACTCCGAGGAATTGTATCTTAGTGTCTTTGCATCAAGACAGTTGGCCCATCTAGCCTGGTCGGCTGTAGAAACCGCGAGCTATGTCCAAAACCACCAAGGCGTCGTAATATCGACAGGCAATTATTAAAATGGGTATCTATTCATCTTCTCATCCGACCAAATAAAATCTTACATGGCTAAAGTGGTTAGAGCGTACGCCTCGGATGCGGGAGGTCTCGGGTTCGAAACCTAGCTGAGTCATACCAATGACTTATAAATATGGTACTATCAGCTACATGGATTGGCGATCAGCATTAGGAGGTTAGTGGTATATTAGAGGCATGATGCCCCACTTCCCCACCCCTAGTGTGGTGCTTGACATCACTATAAACTGCCACACTGCATATATTGTTCTACTTAACGTTAAAAAAATTCACATCACACACACACACACACACACACACACACACACACACACACACCTGTGTGATTTTGGAATTTTGAGGAAGCTTTATCCCCAAATAAAAAATTTGATGACGCTTAGTCACTTGTCTAGGCAGTCACGCAAGCAGACACAAGTCGACCGAGTAATAATTACACGATAGGACATTGACCGTAACGTTGAGATTTTGCCCTTCGGGACCTGGACCATACATGTTTTAGGAATTACTCAACATCGTATGCTGTCGGCTGCTTTGCAGTTGTCGATAGCATTGTGGGTTTTGACCGACTTTGTTAGGTAATCCTTATGTGATGCGACGAGCGTCGCACTAATCACGTGTTGTTCTTCTCGCCCAATAAAGATATTTCAATGTATCTTAGTAATCGTGAAGTGTATAACTGGAGGCACAAACCATACTTTGTAAAATTCCCTTGCAATCAGTAATTTTCATCTGAGCTGTCGACAATCCGGATTGAACAGGCTTTGGTTACCTTGCATTAGTATTTAATGCTAGGACTCCAATTCATATTTATGTATGACAATAAATATACCTACACGAACACAGAACCTGGGTTTTATCTTAAATGTGATGTTTTAATAATAATAATAATAATAATAATAATAATAATAATAATAATAATAATAATAATAATATTAAGTGTGTGTGTGTGTGATTTTGAGCGTAGCTTAACAATTTTCCAGTCAGATAGCTACGATTTCTGCAGTACGGTAGTTTATAGTGATATCTTTTTAGTACTGGTGCATTATTCCGCAGACATGCAGCATCACGTCCCACCAAGTCACATTATCCTGACACTAGGGCCGACCAATCTTAACATAAGCATTTTATGCTAAGCGCCAAGTGAATGCTAGTTGTTGTGACTCGGCCGGGATTCGAACCCGCAACCATCCGCATCCAAGGCGGACTCTCTAACCATTTAGGCCACCATAACTGTCTCTAATAATCAAGAGAATGAGTATTATGGAGGTGGAAACCCTGAATTCTGACCTGATTATCTGATCAGCATTTTAATTCTCCAGACTTTCCTTGCGTGTGTAGCATTGTATAATTAATGAGGCCTTATTGTTCAAATATGCTAGTCCCCGAGGCATTAGTAACTCAACGAGTATATATTTCATATTCCTTTATTTTTACTATTGCACCACTATGCAGCAAACCATGAACGAATGCACCAATATATTATACATGAAAACTGATCTTAACCTCTGGTCTATTATAACTGTACTGTCTTGGTGACCATGCCCTTTCACATCACATTATAAGCCCCCGTTAACTTCATAATCAGCTTGGGTCTGAGCATTGTGACCACCCATTAGCTTCATAATTAGTTTAGTCTTGGGGCACCGTGACTTCCATTAGATTCATAATTAGCTAGGGTCTTGGGGCACCGTGACCTTCATTAGGTTCATAATTAACTAGGGTCTAGGCACCCTGACCACTGTTGACTGCCTAATTATTTGGTCACGTGGTAACGTGGGAAATTTTATTTATTCTACGCGCAACGAATGGTAAGATATTTTTCTACGCGCACGGAAATGTTATATATTTATTGCACTCCCAAGGAAATATTGAATATTTGAAAGAAAATAACAGCCTGTTTTAATGCACGGTTTTAATGCATACACCCTTGTAGAGTGAGTACATTACCACACAATTCCTCCAATTACCCGTGAAGGCCTCGCGTGACAAAAATCCCTAAGGACGTCTCTAGTTTTGTTTTAGCCGTTTACTGCTTACAAGTAACATTCTTCTTTCGGATCTACCTCGATTCTTATTTGTTTACAGAGTACATTTTCCATATTTGGCAGCACCGTCTCCAGCTCCGACGTGGAAATCGTTTGATCAACCGTAGCCACTGAGTATATTTCGCTAATATTGCAGAGAATACTTGAGTGACAGCATTAATTTCTAAATAGACACATATTTGTGAATGTAGCCACGACGAAATTATATTACGGCGACGCCATCCTCCCCAGTCATTACTAATGTGGACCTAACTGCAAATCCGACTGGTGTAACTGAAATAGTTGCCGAGGTCGAGATTTGATACACGCCAAGGCCAATAGTGCTTACTGTAGCGATTCGCAACTAGAATCTACGACCATACACACGCGCTTTTGTATTTCGTGAATAAAGCCTGTTTTGGTGATTTCGTTTCGCAGATTGTGTTCAAATAGTTTTTTTCTCGCGTGGGTAACCTTGATAGTCCAGTACAGTTCTGCTATTAATAATGTGGTCGCGTAGTAAAAATAGTTGACAGGTTTGCCTTTTTCGGGCGCAACACACACACACATACACAGACGCACACAGACGCACACATCTAGCCAATTACTTTTCTTCACTGGTACAACTGCGAAGAAATCGTAGAAATTACTTCCTGGGTAATATTTAAGTATTCGCTGATTGAGGGAATGACATCACGTTCATGAAGAACTATCAAGATATCAATTCTAAAAGAAAGAAACGAAAATATTAATTTGTGTACAACATATTGAAATCTCTAGTTATTGGAAGATAAAAACATCCAAATTTAAGATAGTGCTCTGATATTTATTTGGAGTGTAGGAGAAGCGTGCTCCAATCAATAATTCATATCCTGAATATAATAAGGACATTGAAATGAATTTAGATTAAGCATTTATTATTGTTCAGCTTTCACTTGGTAATGGAAAAAGCCTAATTAATAAGCCAGTTCAATAGTTCAATCGGATAGAAGCCAAATAATGTTTTATCGCACCATTCAATCAATAAAACCTTATTAAATTTCGTTGTGATGTTGGGAACAAAGTAATTGATAATCACCCTAGGGAATAATTAAATAAATTAAGTTCACAATGTGAATGACCACTGGAAGGTTATGGACCTGATCCAAAAGGTCGTTACTTGGAACTATACCGTCCACACACTCACACTCTACCCCCCCCCACTAAAACTTGATATAAAGTTAAAGCTGTCCTTGGAAAGCACGCAAGATGCACGCGTGATTTTTGGACAAACATCTTTTGAGACTGAATGTAGCACTTGTGATCAGGCAGCTTCCAGAATATAAAAAAGGCTTTGAGCTGCTTTATTCTCAAGTGCGGTTCCATGCTCAAAAGAGTATCATGTCTATTTCTTACAGGTAAGAAACTTATGCTTTATACTCGCTTTTGGAAGTTAAAGATTTTATAGTGAGTTGTGGTATTCTTCTGAATTATTTTTATTTCATTAATATAATGTAATAGTGAGTTCTCTTTTCTACTATGAAATATTTTACTGATTTAATATTTTACTGAATTGATGTTCATTGTATTTATAATATAATATTATTGAGTTCCCTTCTTCCACAATCATAATGTAACGAAATATTTTACAGCTTCGCTGTTCATTAGTATTTGTTTGAAATAATTACTAGCTTCATGTTATAATTTAATTGAGAATAAATATATATTCTTTAAATAATAAGTATAACATTCACAGATCTTTTTCAGGTCTTTACCTTACAATAAATAAAATAAAATACATTTATTACAGTTATTGAATTTTAGGCGCTTTAAATATTTAAATCACTTGTATTCAAAAATACAGAAAAATGAATGGACAAATGAAATACTAGATTGTGGAAGAACTATTTAATAAGTATTGTAATATGTATTGTATGTATTTTCAACATAAATAAATTTACATGTTGTATCTTTAGAATATATATCTATATATGTCAATAAAGTGCGATTCCAGGCTCTAGAAGTATCATGTCTATTTCTTACAGCGATCCCACCTCTTCGCAGCCAAGCATTCCCCACAAAAGATGTAATCTACACCATCATATGTGACACCTTATTCTTATGAATGCTGAACTTCCTGCCTTCTCGTATTAGACACGAGAAGAAGGTTATGATAGAAACGTCTAAAAACAACAACGCCAGAACTTCTTATCATAATATAGTGGCGGAGAATCTAATCCAATCCAATCCTTTTTTTTCTATCATAACAGTGGTGGACGAATAACAAGAATAAGTGTCATGAATTATTATCTAAGAAATAGACTTTTGCCGAAACTCTTAACACCATCAGACTTTCCTTCGCCTGGCTCTGCGAGACTGACAACATCCGCAACCGCACCTCTCTTAACACCATTAGACTTCACTCCGCCCGGCTATGCTACATCAACTCCAGAAGCGACAGCGCCGCCATATTCCAAAGAGAAAACCCAGATTCGAACAACTTCTCACTCATTTTAGAAACTACAGCAACCAGAAATATCACAAAGGAAAGATTATGATTGCAGCTATGAGAGGATCGCAACAGAAAATGCATACATCGCCTATGAGAATTCTTTTTGCAGTAACACCTGAGACTACGACATTTCGAATGCATACAGTGCTAAGTCCAGCTCCACATTTGACCTAACTACAACCCCAAATGAATTGCAGCGACATCTACGCTCTCACAGATCAGCGACTACAGCATTAACAGTCCCCTTCCCAGTGAAAGTGACTTTAACATTTTGAACTCTTTCGGTATTAGAGACAATAGATGTATTGTTTGCTATTAGTTCATATCAAGAATATTTCTTCATTGTGGTACATCTCACAAAGGTATGATTTTTCTATCTCTTATTTTGATTTTTTTTTTAAAAATGACAAATTGAAAGTTAGTGCGTAAATTTCAAGCGATTAACAATACTAATCTAACTTATGCTATATTTCATTTTTTATTGAGTAAATAACATTGTTATACTTACTGTCATTAACATACATCAGAGTTGCTAAGATTTCTACTACAGAGAGTGTGAATGAACCTTTAAGTTTAGTTCCGTGCCCTAAGCATTTATATCAAACATCAAACCTACTCGTCTTGAGCCTTCAAATTACATTATACATGATTCGCTACTATCACACATATCGATCGTACCGTATTTGCCTATCTTAGGGAGCATTGTACTTTCCGCTATGCCGTTTCAAACATTGATGCAGAAGTTGTTTGTTTTGTTGGCTTAATGTTGTTCGATAATGTTACTGAGAATTTCTCTTACGTGTTTCATATGAAATCATATGAATGTATACCATAATGTATAATATATGGTATTGTCTTGGCAAAACGCCAAATGTACGGTTCTAATGTCTTCAAACCAGTCAGAAGAGAGTTTCCTTCTATGATTTTGCAGCAACAAATGATGTTGTAGTGTTATTATGTACGTTTTTCTATAGCTAAAGTGTCTGAGCGATTGCCCAACACAGAGTTTTGTAGCAGCTAACGGCCTGCATATTGAATTTTTGACGCAGAGAGAATGCTCTGCATATTGAATTTTTGAATGCATAATGCATTTTGAGCAGCTATTGCCTGCATATGATCAACTTCTGAGTAAAGTTTGTTTGAAAGGATAACGGTAATATATTCCCTTTCGTATGTCATAGGTAATGTTAGTAATACACGCTCAGTTTTACAATTTTAATAATGCACTAAATCATGTCGATTCAGTTTTACGATTTTCATGATATTTTCACTTACTGCTCATAGGTTCGATTAAATGTAATTTCATACACACACAGGTCAAGGTTTGATTGCAAATAAACATACGTTATGGTTATTAGAGTAGAATTAACATAACACTAGCATTTTCATCTTCATTACTCTTGATTAATACCAAATTCTTGCAAGGTTCTCTAAGCAAACATTCTTACAACAATGTCGCTTGTATTCAATGATATTATGTATGCACTAAGAAGATAAATTCAATATTGGTTTACAAGTACTATCCATAATAATGAGAGTTATTTTTACAACACGTCGCTGAAGCAAAATGATAACCGTAGTCACTGATAAATATGTTATGCTGATGTTATGCACAATAAAAAAAATAACAAAAAAAGAGTAAAATAATATTTCAAAAAATAAAGAAACCAAGAACTACAAGCTGATAATAACTTTTTATACTCGTCTTACAGGACT